ACTTATTGTCAATACTTGACTACTCGGAATCACTCGGAGTGTGTGATTATTCAATGAACAATCGGGCGGTTATCGGATGTAACGTGTGTGCAAAAAACATTAGTTTTACATGAAGGGCATATTTACACATGCACACGATGATTACAATAACATACACATGGAAGATGCGAGGTATCATCCCTAGTGGGGGTGGGGGGGGGCACTGTAAAAACAGAGATATACACTTCGTATACTTAATCTATTTTTCATTGTTTCCTCGCGTCAGAGAGGAATTTTTAGAGCCAAAGGGCATGAGTGAGGGGAGCGCCCGAAAATTACACCCAACCGCGCTCGTTCCTCCCTTTTTCCTTCTCCGCCTGGCATCGTGTACATACAACTCGAAAATTTTAGGGCCCGGCCCATTCATCATGCGCCTCCCCCCCTCTTTTAATTGCCTCCTTCCTTTCTTTCCGAGTGTGCCCCCGGCACTATAGTTCGACCTCGAGATTTAACAGAGCGCCTCTTCCTTCCCCTGCAACTTGACTCTCTCTCTCTCTCTCTCTCTCTCGAGAAATGAGGAAAGGAAGCCGCTCTGATTTAATTTGTATCGCGACGTCATTGAAAATTGTAGTATAAATATATGAGACCATACTTATACCCACACCTGTAAGTGTCCATACATATATAAGTACGTGCACGTATAGAAGTAAAGAACAATGGGTCAACTCGGGGGTAGGGCGGATGTGCACGACGCGCGCGTGTGTGTGGTGGTATATCAGATCGGTATACGCGTCGGAGCTTCAGAAGCAGCGCCGGTCCGTTCATTTAAATGAAAGTGACCTTTCGTGGCTCCATATATAATACGCGGTGCCATATCACCATGTGCTCGCGATAGTCGTTGCTTTGCCCGCCCGTTTATGCACGGTTGTATTTATATATATACCCCCTCTGGCGCGCGCGTGGCTTTTTTTATGCATTAGCTGCGATTCGCCGCTGTTGAATTTTTCACACCGAAAGTTGTGTGCAACCAAACGTAATTCACGATGTTTACGTGTTTATATGTGTATGTACAATAAATACACTAGCAACTCGAATCGACGAAAAATAACAACTCGACGCCCCAAACACCATAATCGTGGGGGGGAGCGCAAACGGTAATCGCGGTATAGGTGTATTTCAAATCGGAGTCGTCTTCGCGCGTCCAACAATTTGGGGCTCGTGCACTTTGTGCTCAGATATTATTATTATTATTATTATACGTATGTGTACACACTTGTGTCATTTTTCGCGTTTCGATCGCACAAATTGTACAAATTATTGTGTCCATTACCATAATAATTATATCCATATACAGTTCACGGCCGGAGTTGGAGCAAGCACGTACATCCCATTATTTCCGGTCTTTTCTGCGGTTCCTGTGCGCGTATATATAATATATTATGATACCGGCGCGGGTGTCGGGCGCTTATCTCTTTGCCTGCCTCTTGGCTGTCTCGCATCAAATAATCACGTCGGAGACAAAACTTTTTCTTTTTTGTCAACGGGACGTGTAACGGTGCATTGGAAAAATAAGCGGGCCGATCGCGGGAGACGAGATGCCGCGTGTTCAATATGAAAGTGTACGGTAAGTATCGGATTTCCCCCTTTTTTTCCAAGGGATAGGGTAAAGTGCTTTTTTCCGTCCTGATGCGTCGAAAGGATACTATAGGGGTTAGCTTCCCGATGTGATTGGCTAACAGCCACGTGACAGAGTTCAAAGGATTAGAGACAAGAAGGAGTACATAGATGTAATTACTTGTTTCATTGTGGGCAAAAATGAGAAGCAAATAAAACCTTTGTGTTTTCAAACGCGGCGTATAAAGTTTCAAACTGATCATTTACTTCATCTCTCGTCTCTAATTCTGTGTTTTCGAACAAACAAACAAAAAAGGGCGGCACGAGGGACGAAGCCAAGGACCTCGAGGGAAGAAGAGAAAGACGCGAAGGTGTGCGTAAGTTTGCGGTGCATCGGTGCGCGGGTCGCGTTGAAATTACGACACAGGACCGCGGGGGCCAGCTCCTGCCCCGTGTGGTAATAATACACTTGTACACGAAAAAAAGAGGAAAAGAAAAGAAAGAGAAAGTTACCGAGCCGCGGATCCGAAAAAAATTCTCTCGCGGTGATTTCAATGCTCGGTGAGATCGCGTGTTGCAACGAAATACATATATTATGTTATACGTCGCTCTTACCCTGCAAGACTGAGATTTTTCGTAAGTACTGCTCGCAGGGACAAATGTAAGCTGCGCAATTAACTCGCTGTTACAAGAGCGATGAAATCGAGGCTGCTTTATTTTTTCACAAACTCGCTATCAAGACAACAGTCCGTGTCTATATTTATATCGTGTGCAATAAAGTAGGATGCACCGATATAATTTATTAATACGGCAACAAGTAATTTACTTTTTTTCGTGACGCGCGTTTTTGTTACGCAAGATGTGTACAAGTAATAACAATCACGACAAAGTATAATCTCTCACGCGCGGGGGGCGATAATTTTCACATAAAGTTTTATGCAAAAATCCGCGCCATCGTCTATACTATACTTGTGTATGAGACGCCGAGATGATGATATACAGTGCGAGGCTGTCCGAGAAAATAATAGCCTCAATGTCTAATGTAACGAGCGAGGCTCTCTTTCACTACTTACATTAGGTGTATACCAACTGCTGCTGCATAATGATGTATTATAGCTTCCGTTCAAGGATCTGATGCAATGGTGCACACAAGTGTAATATATTAATTTATAGTAGTCCTGGAGTTAAGTACATGCGCGTGTGTGTATGAATAAGATGTGTGTCCGCATGGGCAGAAAGTATAGCATTGAATTTAAATGCAGAGGGACGAGGATGACGTTAAAAATAGCGTTGCTGCTGTCACCACTGCCGTTGCGAGAGAATGAATAAATATTACAACCGTTACTTATCGATTTTTATCAATCCGGCATGCATACATAACGCACCTATATATATGGCCATGCTTACGTATGTGGATGAACAAAAAGTGTGATGCACATTGTTACATTGAGCTGCTGGTTGCATCAAAGGTACTGGAGTTTTACTCGAAGATTTCGTGACTGAAAAGAAAGTTTTACAAAATCATGCGAGTTTATCAAAGTTAAGTGAATAAAAAGCTCATTATGAATAATTACCATAAATTTTCCATAGATTTGGAGAGATTGGATTTGGAAATTTTTGCAGAGGTAATTTATTATTGTAATGAACATCCTTGAGACAACCCATGCAACTTTTTCCTCGCTTTTTCCACGTTAAGAGGTTCAAAAACTTTAAGAGAACAATCAATCTTTATTGTTGCCACGAACACGTCTAATGTTACTTTTTTTAAGTCACGATAACAATACAGGATGCATTTGAATTCCATTTAGTCGAAATTCAATTTGATAGCCTAAAAAGGAATTTTTACACGAGCACTTAATACACATTCATGTAAAGGGTATACTTGAGAAATTTAAATACCAATTTCTATGCAAAATTGATCCAGGGATAAGAATTCTGATTAATTGACGTCACAAATAAAAATACCTACACCTTACATGAGCGCGTTTGAATAATTGCAGCATTGAATCACATCGCAAGCTATAAGTACGACTGAATCAATGATATAATTGTTCGCGTTTGGTACGTGTACACACATTCCTTCTCTCGAATTCCTCGACAATGTGTAACGGTTGCAAAAACTTGAACATCATTACTTATTGTACATGAATGTTATTATACCTACTTACCTCATAAAAGAAACATAATATATTAGACGTGAATGGTTGCCCCCCCCCCTCCATTATGGCGAGAGAAACATTGAAATTAATTGTCCTTCTGTACAAGTAAGCACATAAGTATATATTGACAGAAAGCATAAAATTTTCGGGTCGTGTAATTCCCATTTGAAAGGGCTTCATTCCCTTGGGAAAAGATTTTTCTCTGAATCCGTATTTTATTAGCCACGTATAATTCTTATACCTTCCTTATACGATGTATAAGACAACAAAAGGGCTCGTAAATACACCGTCCCCCCTGCAACGACTACCACTGATCGACAGACTCTATATATCTTGGATGATGCAATTCAAGGCATCAGTATCCCAACATCCGAAAAATTATCACTTTCTCGGAAATACCTACTAAACTGATAAAACCTTATATATACATCCCGTATATCTTGCCAGATACACATTTGTGCAAACTACGCGCTCCACCATTGGTATTGGTCCAACGGATGATTAAAAAAAAAAACCACAGGGAGACTGCGGAAGGTACAGGAAAGAGAGGGGATGGGGACCAACAACAGTAATACAATAATACTTTTGTTGTTCTCGTTACACGTGGGGTACTTATAAAAAAAAATAAAAAAAAATAATGTTACAAGGCAACCAAATGTACCAAAAAAACAGAGAGAAAAGGGAGAGAAAGAGATATAGGATTGGAACATCTGGTAGCTCGATCCAGGAAAAGAAGGACATAATATTTATACACTTGTATACCTATACACATTTAGAGGGGAAGCCAGCACAGAGTTTTCTCTCTCGCCCGTACGTACAAGTATACGGGTAAGTATACACACATGTATTGCACAGCACACGGGGCTCGGCAAAGTATCTCTCTCCCCCCCCACCCCCTTGGGCGCGCGTGCGTTCGCTCTCTTCCCTTTTTGCTGTACGTATATATACGTATATATAAGTACACACGCCGTGATGTGTTGTTCTTTCTCTTTCTCGCAACCCGCGCGAGCCTTATGCCTATACTGCTGCACAACAGACCCCCCCCCACAACACACCGACACCACACACGCAAAGAACCAAAGGAGCAGCGAGGCAGCCGTATGTACCTATAGGTATAGAGTACGCATCCAGGAGAGACCGTTGCGCGCAAAAGAAAGAGAGAGACGGAAGGAGAGGCGGAGGGGAAGAGAGTATAGAGGCAGCAACTCACTCTCTCGTGTTGTATAGACAAGTCAGTGTCGGCGCTCTCCAAGTTCCAACAGGACAGTTTTTACGTTACGTTGAGCGCCTCCCAGTGCAAAAGTCGTCGTATGGCTGACACCCTTAGTGTTGTTAGTTAACTAAGGTAAATACAAAAGCCTGCAGACCTATTGTTCTGTGTGTCCGTATACTCAAGGGCAAAGTATCCCTCATACCTGTACGTGTACGTGCAGTACACTACCCACATGCGATTGCAGCCCGCTGATGCTCGCGTAAGTTTTTTGCTTTGTTTTTTTTTAATTTTTAGTTTTTGTTTCCATGTCTTGCTTATTTGGATTATTATTATTACTTTTCACTACTTTTTCGGTACCCCCACACTCGCAAGTGAACGGTACGGAAACAACAGGATGCTGCGTTTTCGCTGTAATATACCCCCGGGTACAAGTATATGTGTGTGCGCGCGCGCTCGGAACTACGATTTTCACCCGATTTTCGCCATACGGGTTTTCCTCGCCGTTATATTACGTACTTCAACGTTGTTAATATAATCGTGTATTGCATCTTCCTCCGCCTCATCTCCTCGAACATGTGTACGGAGGGGTCGCATATTGCACGTGTCTAGATCTTTCTCTCTCTCTCTCCCGTCTCGTGTGCCGAATGCCGATAAGTGACGAGGTGGGGGTGTGATGTGAATCTGTTTCCCCCTGCGCGTTTGAGAATGCTGATGAAAGACAAAAAAGAAAAAATAAATTTCCCCGTATACAGCGACCCTATCGTGCGTGACGATGGACAACGTTTTACAACAGTAGGGTGCTCGAGAGTATTGTGTGTATTTAGTACATTTTCTAAGCAGCACGCATGTGGCGTGGGTTTTGTTATTATACGCGTACGGAAGCTAGTACGGTTGACGACCTTGACATCGTAGCCACCCGGGTAGGTGGTATTGCCGCGGTGTGCATCAGTTGAGGTTAGATTGTCGTTTTGTCAAAAAGGTCCTGTCCGCAGCGCGCGCCCACTTTAGCTTGTCCTTTGTACATATGTATTTATCATTCTTGCATTTTTTTTTTTTTTTTTTTTTTTTTTCCGTCATACTTACGGTTTTCGCGGAAATCAGTGTGATTTATCAACGAACTATTTTGCTTTTGCTTTAATGTAAAGCTTTAAAGTTCCGCAACTCGTTGTAGTTTTTTTTGTTTCCCAACCGCAGAGAACAAATAATATTTGTTCGACAGCCTAGAGGCAAGGGCAATGTTTTGATTTCTCTAAATTCTTTTTAAACATTCAATTCTTGTTTTGTGTAACCGTACTGTACACATGTGTATTGTACTTTTCTAAGCGAGAATCTTGAGGTGGGTGTATTTTATTCACAGATGCACATGATGATAAATAGACGTCATAACAATGCCTTTTGGTCAATATAAGATCAATCGTTTCTCTGAATCAGATATGTTTTGAAATAGTATAGCTATGGTAAGTATGAAGTGTCACTAAAAATCGGCGCTTGGATATGTGTAACATTAGACGTCCTTTGTTTTTTTTTCTTGGCAGTCTAGACAATTGAAAAAAAAAAAAAAAAAACAACAAAACAAAACAACTGAAGCATGGTCAGTTATTAGATTAAAAGAAATCAGTCACTGAACTAATAAGTAATAAAAACTGAATAAGTATTAATTTTAGACAAAAGTTTTAAGAAACTGTCTACATTTTGAGCTCTAAATTGTAGGAAAAAAAATTTACCCATTTTATTACTATAGATGTATTTATTCAATGACACATTATTAGGTTATGACTGATAACACACCATGACTAATTTTACTAAATCTGTTACAAGAGTACTCACTTTACCCGATTCTATTAGACATGGTGGCTGTCATACGTTCCATAAAAAAAAGTTCTGTAATCGTAACTACACCAGAGATAAGGTTTTCTTTTAAATGAAGTAGTCGTAAATAAAGCTCCAATGGAATTGAAATTTAATCAGCCTTGCCTCTCAAATTTATCGCCCGAAATTACACAGAAATGAGCATCAAGTAGGATCACCTTACCTAATTCCAAGCCTGAATTCCATTTACAATTCCGTACAAGCGGCGAACAACAGAGCCCGAGCATCAAAGCAGCGTGCAGTACTTAAATAATCATCATGTGTATAATACTTTGCACTTGTGCCATATTTTAAGTCTATCGTATCTCCCTTTTTCGTCATAAATTGTTCTTTTCTTTACAGCCGCAGCATCGTGGGCATAATTACCTTACGAGAAAATTAAAAGAAGCAAAGAAAAGTCAAAGACCAGAGGAGAGCGCGCTCAGCTGTGTATAGCGTATACTTGCAAGTGAGAGAAAAAGAAAAATCAAGGGACGCATAAAGAGAAGCACACACTTTCGGCTTTTACGATTACCTGACAGATGGGGTCGATCGCTCGGGACTAAGGCCCGGCAGTAGCGTTCATCTCCCTCTCTTTCTCTCTTCTTCTCGAAGTTACGAGATTGAGGGATAACGAGTCCTTTCCATGCGTCTTTGACCAAACGCTCTTTTCCCTCCATTCGGACGTGGAAATCTGAAAATTATAACGACAGAGTAGACAGTAGCAGCCAAGATGTTGAAGCTACTTGGAGAATTGAAGGGCTACCTTAAGCCCCAGGAGATCAGCACCGACTCCATGGTGTTCCGCCTGCACAACCAGTTCACGTCTGTACTGCTGCTTGCTTGTTCTTTGATCATCACTGCCTCCCAGTTTGTTGGCAATCCTATCTCGTGCATTACACCTGCGTCACTGCCCTCGCAGCCGGTGAACACCTTCTGCTGGATTACTTCGACGTTCACTATGCCCGATGCGTTCAATCGTGAGGTATGTTTTGTACACAATTGTAAATTTTTTTTTTTTTTTTTTTTTTTTTTCATTTTGTTAGAATTTCAGAGTTGCACTTGGTGTTTCAATTGAATGCGTAACACTATTTAATTTTTCCACACAAATACAAATAATAATTCAAAGTGCCTGTGCATGCAAAACTAAGCAAATTATTTAGTCTTAAATAAAAAGATTGTAGGAATCTTTAAATACAAGGTCATCTCTTTTGCTTTGCTAATAATGCTGTTTGCTCTAAACTTCTTTACATGCTTAATCACTAATCATTATTTTTTTTTTTTTTTTTTTTCTTCTTTGCTGAAATTGAACTGTTTGCTACTAGTAAGAGTAAATTGACCCCCCGGCAAAGTGTCAGTGTAATTGAAGCATGATTTTTATCCAATGTTGAAATTCATTTTTACCTTAAATGAGATCCCACATCTTTCATTTGCAGTCAGCGTCGATTAGTTGAAAAATTCTTAGTGTTCTAGAAAGTGTATAAATACTGTATTCTGTTGAATAATTTTTTTTTCTCTACCTCCTAAAGTTGCAATGTGTAAAATAAATTTTTGCAACAGACGATAAGAAAATGCGATAAGAAAACAGACGATAAAAAAAAAAAATTCAGCAGTGCAGCGTCACTCGTGCGTTTCACTGTCAAAGGCTAACGGGACAAGAAGATGTAGCCCTAGTTTCTTTTTTATTTTAACCATCATTTTCACCAGCAACACGCTCAAGTCTTTCGTAAGGTCGTCTGATCGCTATATTGCCACTTGCACTGTACGAATAAATTATAAATTGGCCTGTTAGCGAAATTGAAAAGTTAACCGAGTATGCAAACGAGAGCCGGTTTACTAGTATGTATATATTCATGTACACACGTGCATCGACAAAAGCGCAGTGAGACAGACGGCCTTTGCATATATTTACAAACACCTACGATAATGATTCGTTTCTGTACCATAAGGTACATTTTGCATGTTCACTTGAGGCTCGTTGACTTTTTTGTGCTTATCGCCAATTTTAATCACTTTTTTTTTCTTTTCCTGCGGGTGGATCATTTTTGTTTCAGTACCATAACAAAAAACTTGTTTGACTGTATGTGATTCAACTTAAGAGTTGTGATTTTGTTCGTAATAAACCAACAAAATAATGGCAATGAAATTATGGAGCTGGAAAAAAATAATGTGTATCCAAAAAAAAACTATGAAAAAACAAATTGAAGTTTCTCTCTGTGAAACAATAAAAGATAATTTCTTTGCTCGTGATCGATCTCTGAAGTACTAGAGCGTAACTGTTCGGGCATTACGTCCGTTCTAATATACGTACCTATACCTGTGTTGAACAATTCTAAGACCCCCAGAGCTCAGAGACCATCAATTGTTTCTGTCTCAAGAAATCAATTCCTTGAAAAAAAATTAATAAATAAATAAAGGAGAGTCGAAGAAATTTGAACTGATTTTCATTCGGTGCACAAACGTTAATCTCTTCTCTAATAATTACGCACTTTTTAAACATTGGGGTCTCATTAAAAAAAATCAGGGTCAATGTATCATAAGTATCAATCTTGTACTTGTTAAATGCAACGGGTTGAATACGCTCGCCAATCAAATTATCGCATCTAAGAGTGACGCAACACGCATCTGGTGTTTGAAAAAGAATTAGAGCGACGAGGAAAAAAAAGACCAAGCCTGTATCGCGTGTCCTTATTGTCCGAATTCAATACTACAATCTACAATTTCTACATGTATTAACGAACAAATATATCTGTTTCATTGCAGGTTGGCCTCGAAGTCGCCCACCCCGGTGTGACCAACGACTTCGGCAACGTCAAGGCAAGGAAATACTACACCTACTACCAGTGGGTCTGCTTCGCACTGTTCTTCCAAGTAAGCGCTTCAACTACTCCCATTTCCTTCTTCCTCCGCCTCCTACTTTTACCTTTTATACGTGTGTATATCTCGGCTCTTTATTACATACGGCTCTCCACGCACGTGCGTCCCTTTATCTCTATCTTCCTCTCTCTCCCTCGTTCTCTTTTTACGCGAAAGCCGCTCTCTCCGGTCTTTATCGCGATCTCACTGTAGCTGCTGGTGCTCCTTGGACGCTCGGCTTCTTCGCAAGTTTTTTTCTTTCCTCTTTTATTCGGAAACTTGCCGAAAGCTGTCGGTGTGCTCGCTGAGTTTCTTGTTACGCTAAGTAAAAGATCGCTTTCCAGACGATTAAGCACTCGGTCTCTTTTTTTTTTTTTTTTTTTCCTTCGCTGCCCTTGTGGGGTTTTGTTGAAGTGCCCGTTTAGCGAGCTCGATAAACAAGATTACATTTTTTCAACTAATTGATACCGATTTGTGCTGTTCAAAACCCTTTAAAAGTCTACACTTGCTGTTCTTATTTCAAATAATTTAGACAGTACCGCTAAACTTTTGAGCAATCATTGCGAGCGCTGTTATGCTAATTTGAGTCGCCGCCTCGATGATTGCCCGGAGATTTAAAAATATCCTTCCCAGCTCCCATCCAATGGTTTTTAATGTGCACATACGTAGTATCGAATGACCGAGCGTGTTCGAGTTATCAGTTGTGAGTGACATGGGCTATTTAATTTCAGGCAATATGTTGCTACTTCCCCAACTGGCTCTGGAGTATCTGGGAGGGTGGACTGATAAGGACCTTGGTCACGGGTCTGCATCACACGCTCGAGCAAGAGGAGACTCTTTGCAAAAAGAAAAACGTCGTCATGGAGTACCTTATCACGCATATTAGGGTGAGTTTATTTTGAAAAAAAATCATCCTTGTTGCTTGATTGAAGCTGCTTTATTTTTTGTCACACGACACATTGTGTAAAATGACGACTCAGCGCTCTTGAGATTTTTTTGTGGATACAATGTCAAGATGTATGAGTAAACTGAATTCGAAAAACACAAGAAGAGTAAAAAAATTAATTGCTGAAACAGTTATGAAACACTAGTCAATATATCTTCCTTGGTTGATGATGTGCTCATCAATGAGGCTCGCGATTTTTTGCAATCATAAATGTTTTCATTGAAGTCTGTGAATCTTGATTACGAAGAATAATGTTAGAACACTGCTATTTTTTCACCTACTTCGTACCATTCATCAACCATCATTATTACGCTTTTTGTAGTATTTCCAAATTACGTAATTAAACCGTAGATCAGAAAGAGATACATACGTACCTTATTAAAAAATTAAAAAAAAAGTTTTTTATGTTGAAGGATCTTTGCATGAATAATTTCAGAAATAGCTTACAAAATAGCAATTAAAGCTCAATTACAAGCCTTTTTTCACTACTTCACCTGGTGTTGCGATCGATTATACAATCGATTCCGCTATACTTACACCTTTAACTCGACACCCATACAATCTCATGACAATCGTATGAATCATCAATCGGATTCCGCAGTGTACACATAGAAAATTGCTCAATTATTTCTTGAAACAAGAATAGGAAGACAATCTAGCCAGCGGTAAGAAGCGACGAGTAAATCAATTCGTTTGTACCGTTACGAAACGAGTAGAGGAAGCTAGTCGCGCGAGCTTGATAGCAAAAAAATTGTGAACAAGAGCCAAGAGAACAATAGGGAAGAGAATTTTCGCGTGAATCTCGGTATAATCTCTGCTTCTGCGCTCTGATGCACCTGTATCTATAGCTATGCTAGCCTCTTGCGTGCTGGTGAGCTTAACGCCTGACATCGGAGATGCCTTTCTGTTCTTCCGCAACAGAAAGGTTTCGAAAAGTACACGAACAACTATAATTGTTTGTATACTTTTCGTGATCTTTTGTAGAACTAGTAAACTTTGTAGCGCACAAATTAGAGCCCGTCATACGTGCCCTATTTAAGACTTGAAAATAAACTCGACCAAAGAAACGTCATAACTTGGAAACTCCAAGTTAAAAAAAGCACATTCTCAAGCTTATAATACCAGGCAATGCAAAGCAACGCATACGTGCATACAGTCGTGTATCGTCTACGTGAAGCAAAGCGTATGAGTCGTCATCCGGCAATGTGTAAGCCAATTCAGCCTCGTTGAATCCAATTTCTACTAATAAACACTCTTTGAACGCCCCGTAGCTATGTATGTTCGTTTAATCAAACTTGCTCATCCTGACTCCTTGGTTATCTTTGCAGACGCACAATGCGTACGTGTATCGGTATTATGCGTGCGAGGTCATCTGCCTCTTCAACATCCTGGTCCAGCTCTTCTTCATGAATAAGTTCTTTGATGGCGAGTTCATTACCTACGGGTGGCGCGTGCTCTCGTTTACCGATGCGCCTCAAGAAGAAAGATTTGACCCGATGGTCTACATCTTTCCAAGGGTTACCAAGTGCATCTTCCACAAGTTCGGTCCTTCAGGAACAATACAGAATCTGGACTCTTTGTGCGTCCTGCCTCTGAACATCGTCAACGAAAAGACTTACATTTTCATCTGGTTCTGGTTTTTGGCTCTTACGACTATGCTGGTTGGCCTGATAATCTACAGAGCGGCCATTATTTTCGTACCCAGCGTGAGGCCAAAGATCCTGCAGATGTCCTCGAGAATGCTAGAGTACGAGACGTGTCAGAGCATTAGTCGAAAAATCGAACTGGGTGAGTTTTGATTTAATAAAAAGTCATCTTTACTTCAAGCGATACGTTTTTCAGACTGTATTAATTTTGGATATTGTTTTTTCCTCTAGGTGACTGGTGGGTACTGTACGTGCTTTCGTCGAACATGGACTCGCTAATCTATCGTGAACTGCTTCAGGAATTGACGAAGAGGATGAGCGAGCACATATCGCCCGTGAGTCCATAGGGTAAACTCTTGGCCGCGATTAGGCCAGACGATGGAAGGTTCTATTACAAACGCGATGATTCTTAGCAGAGAGTTGCTTCATCCTTCTTGTTGATGGAAAAGCATAGGTAAAACTAAAGTATGGCGTGTGAAGTGTAGTACGACAGGAATCGCTTTCTGGGCGTGCTATGCTACCCGACGATCGTTACTATGAAAATCGATCTAAAAATTGAGAGAAAAGATAGTATTGATGTACAAAAAATTTTCATATAATAAATTTTTATATTAAAATTTTACAAATAAAAAAGAACCAATTAGATTAAGTAGAACTGTAAGACAGGACCGTTGTAAGCATACTTTATATTAATTACACTTGACCTTCGGATTTGTAAAATCTATACCGATTGATAACAATTTATGGTGATTGTTCCCGTAGTTGAAAAAATTTATTGCTACACCATTCGTTCATTAAATAATTTGACGATCAACATTATGTTAAGGTTTAATTTACTTTTAAACGTCTGAGGGTAACACGATGATAGTTGTGAGACTAAAATTTTCTCTGATTTGAAGTGGTTAGGAAAAAGTAATTTTTAGGTGCAAAAATGTAAGACTCACACGCTGAGTAGTCGAGTTTCGTGCGTTTTTTTTATAATGAAACTATACCGAGACCACGCGTACCTTCTTTACCGTCCGTTTTAAAGAAATAGTAGAGAGTGCGCACATGTATTTTTATATAATATATAAAAAATATATATATTAACGAAGGTTATTAAAACAAGACAAAAAGAAATGTAAGTGCGTGAAAAATTGGCCTAAGCGTTTTCATCACAAGTATTTCTCTAGATACTTTTTGCGAAAAAGACCGTGCCAATTTTTCGAACCCGACTCTTTAGTCGTGTTCAACAGAATATTTATGGCTATATAGTATGTACCACTGGTGGTATTCCTATTGCTGTTTAAGCGACTTCCATTAACTTTCATGGAAGCTTGTACTATATTATTATATTATTACTCGATTTATATTATATATACATTTATAAACTCCCACGGCTGCTGACTCCTTTGTGATGTTGAGTTTGGAGATTAAACAGCAGCTTGTCGCTAAGACTGACACGAATTGTAAGCTCTCGAACATGAGCGAGAGTTTCTCTCGTGTATTAAATAATTGTTGCTGTTGAAATTAAAGCGAGTAATGCGCCAAGCACAAAAAAAAATATTTATGTGAGACTTAAATTTAAGAATGAAAGGTGGGACCAATTGGGTTTAAAGCATTATAAATAAACCAATTTCATTTAGGATATTATTGAAACAAAAAATTAGTTTTACTAAGTTTTTCTTCTCTTTTTCGTTCCAACTAAGTTAATTATAAATTAAGCCACGTAGTTTTCTTTCTCTTTTCCTCTCATCAAACTCACATGTATGATTACTATTACTATAACTATTATCATTACTATTATGATTATAATGATCTGTAAGATTGGAGGATTAAAGCTGATTTGAAACAAAACGACACTTGTGTGCGCATATCTCTGTTCCCTCGCTCGTCGTCTCCACTTTTCCTAGTCATACTCCTTTCGTTGAGACACAAGAAACACAAGAATCTAAGCTCAGAAGACCAAAGGGAAAAGATCGTACCTATCCCAAACAATTAACCCGTGGCAGCTCCAACAAACCAACTGCAGATATTCATTGTCGCTCCTGATTTGCGACTCTTACGAGCTACAGGACAATCGGCAAAGTTTGTCCTTTTGCAAACTCCAAAACAACGAAAGTTGGTAATTTTTTTTTTTAAACGAGTCTCGAATGCCTTTTCACACTACGGTTTAATTGGGTCGAACTAGTGAGCTTCAAGGGAGTGAGCAGCAGAACCGGCGCTTTTTGTTGCAAAATCTACAAGGCCAATCAGCTACTGTCCCGCGTTCTGCTGCTCACTAGGTCGAAAGCGGCACCTTAATCACCGCTCTCGTGTTACATGTACAGCTCAGGGCCGATTCTTCGGACAGGCGATGCTGATTTATATGGGTTACGTCTAACAATAATTACTGTAAATTGTTAAAAATTTAATTAACGCGACGACAGAGCTAATAACTCCAATCCATCATTATCATCATCAGTGCCATCACTGTCCATAAAAAAAAAGCCCTCTTTCCGCAAGCTCGCCGATTCCACCCACGCTGGCCCGATACATGTATTTACGTACGGTCTCTCCGCGTCGTTCAACTCTGTCGCTCCGGCGTATAGGTAAGCTGGACGGGAATTATAAAAATAAAATATGCCGCCCGTAGGCGCTCGAGCTTTTCGGCCATTCTCTCTTTACACTTTGGCCGGCTATTTCTCCGGGGCGAAGCTCGACCACCCGGCGGGAGAAAAGCGCCAGTACAATTGTGGCATGGGAACCCACACGCGGTGGTTCATCCGGCTTATTAGGTTCGCTTGCGCGGGACAGACGTGAAAGCTCACGACAAAAAAAAAAAAAAAAAAAAAAAAAAACGAGTGCAAGCTCTGCAGGTGTGAAGCGTAAACAACACCTACATGTGCTTACTTTCGATTTTTACGTACGCGCGTGTCGTTATAGTGCCGTTTAATCGCTGTTGATGTACTATAAATATATACATACGCTCGTGTGCTTTTACACTTGATAATCGAGTACATCAGCGCGTTTTATTAATTTTGTTGATATACATACATGGGGTACGACGGAAGTTTTGTTGTTTTAGTGCCGTTTTTTTGCCGTCGCGGTAATGCCCATTGAGGACTTGTTTACAAAGAAATAAGGAAAATCTCATTGACGTGAAGCAGCTCTCACGGGTAAACTCGTTCAGCGAGTCGAAAAAAAAAAAAAAAAAAAAGAAAGCTCGATCTCGGATAATGATTTTTTCTTTTTTCTTCTCAATCGTGGTATAATCACTGGTGTTCATTATATTGTGACAAAATTGCCAAAATAAACGTTCCGAGAGGGCGTTTTTTTGAAAAGTTTCACCGATCCAAGTGGTTACATACCTCGTGTGGTAGGTATAATCGTCGAAGAGAATAACCCCGCGTGCTTGCACAAGCGCGTCCGATCCAAAATCACGAAATTCAGCCGGTCAAGCGTCCCTCGCGCGAATACAATATGCATGGCACAAGAAAACCTGGCAATCGGCCGACCCCCTCCGTCCTTTTTTTTGTTAATCCGTGGGAACATTTGCAAATCAATACCTATTTCGTGCACTCGTACTGTCTCTATCAATTACCCCGACTCACACAGAGCCACGGAATCGAACGTCGCTCGGTGGGAATCCATAAATACAACAAATTCTCGCGAGTCCCGGAAAATCGGCCCGCGAGCCCATGCCAAATTACACACGCACGAGTCTCTCCATCCCAAGCACGTGCGTCAAGGCGCTTTGACGGCACAACGGATCACATATTATCATTTTCTCTCTCCTCCCCCATCCCCGTCAAGCGCGACGCTTCCTCTTTATAATTCTCCGGAAGGAAGAAATCACGAATCGGCCCCACTGCACGTCTCCTCTCGTAAAAACGAAGACAAACAGCAGCCGCGTATCGTCGTCGTTTGCGACGTTTGCAAGGGGGAGGGGGGGAGGGTTTGCAAGTACGGTACGTGTAAGGAAGGGAGTAAGGAGAGCTGCAAGAGATGCTGTTTAATGTTTAAAATCGGAGACGGCGGTGGTGGCTATGCGCCACTATCCTACACCCTATACGCCGACTGGCATTTGCCGGGTCAACCTGTACACACACACACGCGCGCGCGCGAGAAAGACAAGAGGTATATATGTGTATACAAAGGTAATGAAGCGAAGGGAGTACTGTATATACATGTGTATACGTATATAAACACGGGGTACAGAAGAGGAGGGTGTGTGCACCTATAAGCGTCGGTGGCAGCGGATGGAGAGGGAGGGAAAGGATCCACCGCCAAAACAAGGGCAAGGTGGAGGTGCGCTCTGCCGCATACCGTGACGCAAACGCGGTGTAGGCTCTCCCTCTCACTTTGGGGCTCGTCGCCGTACCCGCGCCGCTGGCGATCGCGAAACCGCGCTCGCCCAGCGCGACTACTTTTTACACCCCCTCCCCCGAAGCGACATCCCATTTTTTTTTGTTTATTACACACCGAAACGGCACATCGGGCAACACGCTCGCTCTTGGACGTACAACCGTCTCTTACCCTCGTTTTTCGCGTACCCCTCCCATCAGCTAATTTCGTTTTCTTCATCGTCCGGCTACTACACGCGCTTGGCGTTTTTAATTATCGGTAAATTGGATACCCTCGCGCGTGGGGTGTATAAATTGCGTCGGGAGGGACGCGCGCATTGTGGACCGAGTTAATCGAGTCCCTCGTCAAGTGCTCGTGTAACGCACACCTGCAAGCCCAACGCGTATCATCATTATGCGCACGTTATTTACTATACGCGCCCCGAAAAAAATGACAAAACAACGGGGGGTTACAGATGCATCGATACTTGTACCCGTGAAAGTGCGCGCGAGCAGTTAATTTTTTTTTTTTTTTTTTTTCAATATTGGTACTGTGCGCGGTGTAGGGAGGAAATTTCAAGTGGTCCGTTAACACATAGTGCCAGAGTGTGCAGTTGGGCAAACAAACGGGAGTAATAATAATACGGGCGTTTAAGTGGACTCGGCGCGATAAAAGAGCCGCAAATTGAAAATTTCGCGTCGCACCGTTGAATAATCCTTTGTTGGAAAAGAAGAAAAAGGAACAAAAAAAAAAAAAAAAGTGAAAAAGGGAGGGTTAAATTTTAGGAACGGGTGGTACAAGTTTGGCGGTGCGTGGTGTAGCATGAGGTGGCGAGAGGATGCGTCGGGAGCAGCCGGCAGGAGAGCCACGGTCCTCGGCTCCAGCATCGGGCGCTCGTCGACAAGATTGGAGGTGCACGGCTCCCCACCTCGGACCGGTCGGCACCAGGGAGCTTCGCCAGGGAGGAAAGAGCCGGGCGGTGGTGGACGGCAGCCGCGCTAACCGGCTGCCGGCCGCGCTATTATGAGGAGCTTGGCCCACCGTCAGCAACAGCGGAAGCAGTGCTCGTTGCCGGCCTTGGACCACCGGGCGACGGCTGTCGTCGTTGTCCTGCCCCTTGGGCCCAGCAGGCGACGCGTCAGAGCAGGCGAGGAGGGAGTCGCCGCGAGTGAGGCTCACCGCAGGCAGAGGAGCGCATGGATTCGCCTCGGCAGGAGCAAGCGTGACCGCAGGCACGAGACCTGGATCATGGATGCCCTTAGGGGACTCTACTGCCTCTTCAACGTGAGTTGCTCCACTTTATATTTTTCGTATTGCAGTTTACCCACTTATATAGTTGATGCACGTCGTACAAGCTTAAAATTGTTCGTTGTATTTCCATTTTATTTTATTTATCATACTTTACTTGACCATTACTGTTTTTATTACATCAGTGTTGTTATTATGCATATTTTATTTTATTTTATTATTTTTTTATCTTTTTATTTATTTATATATTTTGTTTTATCATCTCTTTGTTTTATATGATATTTTCCTTGAGCATTACCTGTGATTGCTGTTTTTACACTTTCAATGCTTGTACAACAATGTATCTGCTGTAATTCATCATATCAAGCACTATACAGGACCTCTGAGTCCTTAGTGCCGAATAAAGACTTACTTACTTACTTACAAGCTGTTTTGAGTTTTTTTTTTTTAAGCGCTTAGTGAGTCGATCGCGGTGAGACGGTGTAAGATTGCCGAGGATTTAATTGGCCGGTGCTTGATCGAGGGGTGGAAAAAAAAAAGAAGAAAATCAACGGTGGTATCCGCGCATCATTTAAATATTCATTGTCTAAATCAGCGTCGAACGGGACGCGGGTCAACAGTTTTATACGTACACGGGCATAAATGTTGACCCACATTTTACAAAGTAAACCATGTTTGAAGCACTTGCATTACCAATGAGCAAATGGGTCTTACGGATGAATTGTTTAAATGTGTGCATTGCATACGAAAAAAAAAAAAAAAAAAAGATGCGGATTATTCGTAATCTCGCTACCCACCGTTTCTCGTATCTCTTTTTTATTTTTTCATATTAAAACTAGTATGCGAACTTGATCGTTTTTCCTTAAAAAAAAAAAAAAAATAAATAAAATAAATAAATAAGTAAATAAAAACTCATAAATTATTAACAAACTTTATTGTGTGCTACGTTTTGTTTTGTTTTAATGAAAAATGTCAAAAAGTAATTGAAGGTCACTCCCTTTATTTCAATTATTAGGGTATCGATCGTCTCACGCGCTCGTCCTTCGTACAGGCGCATTATATTCTCTCTTGCATGAAAATTAACATTTTTATTGGCTATAAATATCGTTGACGATTTCATGTTACTCAAAAAGAAATTTATGTTTGCCGCACACATATCGAGCGATTTCGTATTTGCTTAAATTATTTCTTTCCTTTTTTTTTCTTCTTTTCCTTTCGACAATTTTTCGAAATTAAACTTGGATGCGCCAAATTTACGTGCGAATAATTTATTCAAACAAAGTGTTAAACTTTTGGCACCCAATTTTACGTGCACTCTACGGTTCGACACACCCGTGACACCGGACTCTTCAAGAAGTTTAAGTGCCTTTTTGTTCTTCGCTATATACACGTAATTTTTTTTGTTTTTTAGGGTTGAATTCAAATTTACGTACAGCTGAAAAATTTCCATAGAGTTTTGTTTACTTTTGAAAAGAAAAATTCATGATCATGAAAAAAAAAAATTGTCTTTTTTTAAAAACATATATAATTTTGTTATTCCTCTGGCTACGTGTCAATTAGATGTTGGACAATATAAATTTGGTAAGTCAACAACATTTGATTATATAAATAGCGAAACAGCTGATGCTTCACTCTCTATTCCTTGTAGACCAACAATAAAAATGCACTTGCAAAAAAAAAAAAAAAAAATCCGTAGAGAGACAGTAAATTTTTTTGCACTACATTTTGACTAAAAAAAGACAACGATAAATTTAAAGTAAACAAAACACTCTTTTGTAGTGGTTAATGCATTGCACTTTCTAGATACTTACGTACGTTTAACATTAGTCAAGAGAAAAATACGTCCGCGACCTTCGTATAGTGGAAGAATTTGCATAACTAACGGCATCAATCATTGCTAAAAAAAAAAAAAAAAAAAAATATTGAAAAAAAAACAACGCACTAGAAATTAAAAAAAGTACAGTTCTCGAAATGCTTATACTTAAAACGATGAGAGAATGGAGATTAATGTACCCTCGCCACAGAGAGGGAGCGAGGAAGACCGCGTCTGACGTATTCTGCCTTTGACTACTTCCAAATTGAATTCTGAACTGCCCTACTTTAATTGCATGTAGATTTTTTCTCTCTCTCTCTCTCTATCTATCTTCTTCCTTTTTTCTTTGATTTCCCTCCCCCCCCCCTCAACTTTACAATACGCGAGAGGTCAACTTTGTCGCGCTCGATACATTTTTCGTACTAATTCACGAGCACAAGTGGCAAACGATAATTTGTACAGATACCGTCTTTCATGTCTAAAAAAAGCATCAATCCAGCGTCACGCGTATTATTGTATCCCACTAAATACGTACACGTCAAAATCCACGAAAAATTCACTGTTCTGACTCGTTTTCATTGATCACGCGATTGATGCGAAAATTTGTGGGGGTACCAAATAAAATCGACGTGATAATCTTGTTTACCGAGATTTTCAAGGTAATTTTCGGGAAACATAATCTCTTTCCACCATAAATTATATGAGGATTGGGACCAAAAGTTACGAGGTCGATACTTTTCATATTGACTCAAATTAGATTTGGACGCTTTGTTTGAAGTCGTTTTACGAACTGCTTTGATTTCTGAGCAATCCTTGCTGAAAAGGAATGTCCAAAAAAGAAGGCATTTTTTATAAATTTTTCCCAATAATAAGACTTCAAAATTTGATGAAAAGCAAAAGGGTAAAAACCAAACCAACCAATCCAGAGTGAATAAACAAGCTTGAATAAATGGCGACGCATGATTTTATTTTACCTTCAAACTACGCGAAACATTTAATTTTCCGTATAGATCGCGTCATACACCCACACTCGAGTAAAGCGGATATGTACATATATATATATATACACACTTACGAGGGAGCTCTTATGCAAAAGTAATAACAATTTGATTGCTCGGATTTTACGATCCAGCACCGGGACTCCCTCGCAGCCACACAGACGTCTTTTTCAAAGGGGCGCGAGCACAAAACAACAGAGTGGATTTTAAGTAGCGCATAAACATACAAATATAGAAATCTAAAAGGAATACCTAATTGACTCGCGCTATTAACGGCCATATACAACCGCCCTCCTACACACCACACGTATATATATACACATGTACTTGCAACTCGCGCGCTTCTAAATTTAATTTCAAAGTAGTCGATGTTTTCTTTTTTTATTACAATATAATACTTGTTCCATTCACAACGAGCTTTGGTATATAACCTCCCCAATGTAGGTAAGCAAAGTACAAACGGACGGCTTCGTGTCGAGGCTCCACGTGTTCACGGCGATTCTGCTGCTGGCGTTCTTCGCGATGGTCTCGATGAAGCAGTGCGTCGGCAATCCCATCGACTGCGTCCACACGAGGTTGGCACTTTTTACACCCGCGATATTTCCCATAAACCCATGGCTATACCCATAACAGTGTGATCAATCGCCTTGAATTTTCAGGGATATCCCGGTGGAGGCGTTCAACGCCTACTGCTGGATCCACAGTACGTACTTCGTGACGGGTGCTATGCTGGGGGTCGCGGGGGTGAACGTCGCCTTTCCGGGTGTCGGCTCGACGCTCCTGTACCAGCACAGGCAGAGGGTGTCGGGCCACCAGTCGGGCGATCGCTCCGGGCCCGACTCCATCACGAGGCAGGTCAAGTACTACCAGTGGGTGCCCTTCTTGCTCATATTTCAGGTAAGGGCTAGTACCTCCAAGGGACTGGAGGGAAAAAAAAACACACGCGCGAGTTTGCTGGTCGTTTGGAGATGACGTTTTAATGGTTATACCCAATCAGGTGTAATGTATACATGTGTTCGATTTTTTTTTTTCGTTTAAATTTGAAAAACTCCCGCCAAGACCCGGCAGCCAAGCTGCTGGCGTGCTCTGTTGGGCATACCCCCAAGTACTGGCCATACTGTACACGCGACCGAGTGGAGTCGCGTCGGCAACAGACCGACCGATACGTTATCTGTTTGACTGCGTATTGAATATTGATAAGTTCAAATATATATTGATTGAAAACTTCATTTGGTAACAAAGGCCATGACATATTGATTTTTTAGTCGGCAGGTAAGTATAAAATTGTCGTTTTAACATCAGTATAGATGTATGGACATTTTATGTGTAATAAAGGTAAGTGAAGATGAACCAATCTGAATTAAAAAAAAAAAAAAGGTGTGTATTGTTTTGAACGCGTTCAAGTGCTGATATATTGCTGGAAAAAAGGCGCAACAAACCATATATTGAGATCCGTTTGGACGAAACAATAGTGATCTATATGTGTTACAGCTTTGGGTACACGTTACGTTTTTCTCCCTCGATCGCCACTTATTTGAGCTATGCTCGAGAGAAAAAGCAGCTCCGTATGATAATTCTGTTTTGGCAGCCCATAACTTACAGCAAGGAATTGCAGAGGAAAAAAAAAATGGGGTCTGTCACCAAGAAAAAGTATCCCAAGTGATGCGTGATTAAAAAACCACCTCGAGCCAAAAATAAACAATTACCCATCAGCCAGCGTGTCACGGATGATACTGTTTTTCTTTTACTGTACGCCTTTAGCGCAGCGTAACAGCTAAGGTATACATATCCGCAAGCTCGGCGAGCTTGGCCGTGGCTCGCTCGATTCGTCACTCGATACCCCGACCCTCACCTCGTGTACCGCGCCCCCCCCCCCCCTTTCTCGCCCCGTAGATATACGTCCGGATGGACAGGCGCTGAGTGAAACCCGTACACACACAGCCGCCAAGAAGAACAACGCACTCGACGAGCCGCTGTTGATTAGGACGCGCGAATGGCTATACACGTTTACATGCGGTCTTTGGCGATGCCGATGTCACCTCACGTCGAGTGACATGATGCACTGCAATCAACGACTTGACGAATGTTATTCCATACTGTGTCGTTAATCAATTATGCATCAAATTTTTGGTGAGTTTATAGATGAATGGACCCCGGCATATCCTCCTCGTTATGGATATATATATATACTTTGGGTGCGTCTCGAATGGAGCTTTGGTTTTTTTTTTTTTTTAAGAAAGAAAGAAAGAAAAAAAAAGCGTAAAACGATCGAGATCGAAGCAAAAAAGGGAGACGTATGGAGCCGTAAAGGCCGTGCACCTCGAGTAACAAAAGATGGGCTTTACGAGGCAAGGGCTCGCTCGCGAGTGTAAAATGGAAATTTATGGGGCGTCCGAGCCCAAAAATACAGTGACGAGTTTTACGAGGATGCTGGGGTTGGGATCGCGAGGCTGTTACCCCCCCTCTCGGCTATCTTTGATTTGTCGACGGCAATTCATTTGGCCCTCGTGCACCAATACAGCTTTTTATTATTCTCGTTCCTCCAAGCAAGAGTATATGTATAGGCCACGTTGGCTACTCATCGGACGCGCACCTCAACAGATTGCTACCCTCGCACAATAATCCTTTGGAAGGTAACACGGAGGCGTGCGATCCCGGCTGAAACGATGTCTTCGCGTATCGGTACACCAGCGGGGGACGTATACACGAGGCGAGAGAGCGAGCGACAGATTTAGAAGCGAAGCTACGTAAACAGCAGTCGTCGGTTTGAGTGGGAGGGAACTGAGAAGGGAAAAAAAGCATCGCAAAGCAAGGAGGTGGAGGCTGATGCAGCGGGACGAGGCGCTTGCAAGTTTGAGCCAGAGGAATCGTCAAAGTTGCTCCTGTTGAGAGGAGGAGCTGGTATTTCCCTCCCTCGGGGGACTTTTACCCTCGCGCAGTCGACGAACGCTAATCAACCTTGATCTTACCCGGACGACCGAGCGAGTGTATAAAAAACAAAAACAAAAATGTTATTTTCAAAGCCGATCGCCAATTAGGAGCTTTAGGAGATGTATAAGAGAGCACCTCTGGGGCAAATGAGAATGCATCTGGGGCGTCTTGAGCCACTGTGCTCCTACGTATATACACATATTTCGAGATTTGGAGCGCTTTCAAAAAGATATCCCCAAGCAGCGCTTCCGCGGCTGATAAGAAACCAGGAATGTTTTTTTTTTTCTTTTTTTTTTCATTCTTCGGACGCTTTCTTTTCCCTGCATACGTCTTACTGCTGTACATGTACACCCTTCTCCCGACAATTCTGAGGCCGTAGGAGTCTTTTATTGGATCAAGCTCGGGTTAAATAGATTAAAACGTTCGTACACCCGAGTTTCATACTTTTGTATGATATTTCTTGCACAACTCAGCTTTTGCGATTAAAGTTGGGACGAGGAGGTTTTTTTTTTTTTTTTTTTTTTTCCAACGATTTCACAGCATTTTCTTCCGCTTGCCCAACGGCCCTTTGGAGAGTTTTGCCAACACGACCGAAATATTAATACTCGAGCGGCTTTCGCGTCGCTTTGCTTTAGCTTTCCCCGTCACGATTCAAACGCCCCACCCGCGAATCGTCCACAGAGGAGCAGGTAACAAACCAAACTTTGGAAATCTCGCAACGGCAGGTGTATATATAATATGTAACGTGCAACACACGTATACAAGTATACGAAAGATGAATGGAGAGAAAGCAACAAACAACGCTCGGCCGAGGGGCTGAAAAGTTCAAGTACCCGGTGTGTGTGTGTGTGTCTGTGTGGGTGATGCGCGGATGAATGACACACGCCGTACACATGTACAATACACAGACAAGATGGGGCGAACGGATTAGCGGGGGATTAAAGATTGGCGAAGCCACAGCCGGTGGATGGTGCAGGCGCGTGTTTCCCGCGGAAGACGTAATGGCAGTGGCTACCCGGCAGTAGTGCTCGGCGCGCCAACAAAGCCGATCGGTACACTTTTCGACGACTGCCGGGAAGGAAGAGCCACTTTATTCTTCCACTGTCCATACGATTCGTGCAGTGTTTGTAATTTGTGCGCGGTCTCGTCGAGGGGGATATTGTGGTCGCACGTGCGCCTAAGACATATCGCAAAAATCGCAGCGAGAGCTTGCAAAATTCATACGGGCTTCAAGGACGCTTGAATTATCGAAGCTTCGTTGCGCACCTTTTTTTTTTTCCACCTCGATTTGCATGGACCTACTTTCTGTGTGGATTCTTCCGAAACCGCGTGTAACCTTATTTGCTTTATCTTTAAAATTTTTCTTCGCGTTCGCGCGAGGTGCTCTCGTGAAACTTTTATTCCTTCCGATCCGTTCATGTATCGTTTCGAGAGCCACCGGCGTCACCAGCTTATATCTTAAAATACCTGCTTTTTCGACTTTGAATTACGCTCGGCTCCAAGTACATGCCGATGTAATTTAAAACTTGGAAAAACAATCTAGCGTTTTGTTAGCTCGGAAAGGGTAATTAATCATCGGGGGCGGGGGAGGGGACCGGTGGGTCACGTGCCAAGTGCAACATCCAAATTTAAAAACCAACGGGCATAAATCAAGCAATCAAGTGCCGCCACTTGGCATTGCGTTATAAGCACAACAACACGCCCTCAAGTCCGTTCATTCGCCTATTCTCGTCCTCGTTTGCGCTTTTTGTTCCTATTCGCGCCAACGATCCTTTGGAGTTTTATTTTTTTTTTTATTTTTTTTTTTTTTGTTTGGACCACAGAGAGAAAGAGAGTTATATACTTACGTTTCGGGAGCATAGAGACGAAAAATTGGATGGAAAAAAAGTATCATGCCTGCGTCGACGCGCGTTACGACAAGGTCAGGCCCGCGTTTTTAGGCCACTCGACGAGCGAGTGCAGATGAAAAAATAAAATATAAAAAAAATCGGGGCTATACGGACGCGTCAATGTGCTCGATTTCTCTCATTCACGTGCGTATTTATGCTTGTAAAAAAAAAAAAAAAAAAAAAAAAATTACAGCGGCATGGCTCCAAGCCATTGGGAAAAAAAATTATCGACGTAGGCCAAGGAGGGAGCCAGTTGCGTCTTTGATCGGTATACAAGGGTGACCACGAGTTTGCATGGGTCCCAATAAGCCGTTGCCGCGCAAGCTCCCGCTGTCCCGCGCGAAACGCTTCCCAGCCGCACACGCACGGGATAATAGACTCGCACCTACGGGAGCCTTAATATAAAACACGGGGCCCCCCGTGCTCGAGACGGAGAAAGAGAGTAGAACGGCTTTCTTCGACACGCACGCACACACGTGTACACGCGGAACGGGGGCCACCGTCACGTTTCGCCCGCAAGCTCGACGCATTGCGTTATACTCTCGCTCTTTCTTCTTTCTCGGATCGTTTCTATTCCTGGAGTGGTAGTAGCCGTAACAGCATCTCCCTCTCGCTCGCGCGCGCGTGTGTGTATATATAAATGCACGAGGTGAACATCGCGTAAAAGAACGAGACGTACGAAAGCTCCGAATGTGCCTCCTCGTTGTGTGTGCGAAGAAGAAAGAGAGAGAAAGAGAGAGTCGGCGTGTGTTATAATAAACGCGAGCGCGGCCGCGCGGCGCGTGTAATTTCTGCGATCGCCACCAAGAGCTTTTCCACCTATTTCTCTCTCCCCGCGGCGTGCGTACACGCTCTCATTTGTCAGTTGGTTGGCGACGACTCGCCGATCGTTGTATCCGGCACCCGCGCCTCGGCTTACCAATCTAACGTTTTTTTTTTTTTTTTTTTTTTTCTTCCCCCGTCACGTATACGCTCGCGATCGAGCTTGCGGCCGCCCTACGTCTCCATGAGCCGAAAGGGAGAGATCGCCGTTGCACGCGCTCTTTGCCGTGGACACGTGTGTTTGTGGATGCATTGTACGCGCCGATTGTCGTTTGATTGAGTTACTTGCCGGCGAGTGATGTAGAACCGGTTTTCCACGGGCGGAAGGAAGATCTTTGCGAGAAGAGAGATCGGTACGGAC